GCCGTGTGACCACCGATCTACACTCACAATCTGTTTTACTTATGCAGGTGTTTAGAAAAAAATTGAAAACAATCTCATGAATGTGTGCTATTCTCCTTATCATCAGCAGCAGCAGTAGTGTCAATGTTATAAAATAAATTTGATGGCATTAGTTCGATTACGTACATATTGTTCATAATTTAATTCTGTAACGTCTCCAGATTGCAATGATTTGATCTAGATTTATGGAAAGTCAATGTTAGAAGTATTGAAGAGCAATCGTGAATTTCTCATTTTAAAAGATTCTGTTTTTAGGGACTATGGAACTGTTCCAGAAGTGAATCCATCTAATCCCTTGCATTGGACTTTTGGTTTGTTATATTTTTATTGTCACTTTGTATGAAAGCGCTCTTCGATAAGATGTATATTTCGTCAATCGTATCGAAATTTCCAGTTCCGTGTTTTAATATTTCATGGAATTTTACTTGCTTGTTCCATTGAATTCTATCGAAAAATCACATCATTTTCATTTAATATGGACGTACGTAAGCGTTTCAGTCACATTTGATGGAAGATACCAAATATGAGCCAAGCATGAAAAAAATGGCATAGCTGACGAATTCTCATTAAATCGACCGAAAATGTGTTTTTGCAATCGATTTTAACGTTTGAATTCATGCGTAGAGTTATTCTGAACTGCGAATTTCCAAATAAAATTGCGTTGTTATTTGTTTCATACGCATGATTATTTGTATGAGAGTGTAGCAGCAAAAATGGACATAATTCGCGATTTTTTGCAAACAACGAAATGAACGAAATTCAGATACGGCCACAACGCACAGTGATTGTTGTACAGCAACAACCAGTCGTGAGTCCACTTCGTCGCGCAACTCCTCATCACGACCGCTCAATCAGCCCCACTCTTCGCATCCGCATCAACATCAGCCCCAATATCCTCATCAATCGCTGAATCAAGCACTGCCTCCCCAACCCATCCATCGTCAACCTGTCCTGAATCAACGCTCAAATTCAGTTGCATCCACATCTTCCACCACTGTTATTCCTGATAGAGCGCACACCAGTAATTGTGCAACAAGCTCGGCCATTGCAGCCACTCCAATAACCGCTTGTCATCGTCAACCAGCCAGTGCTATCGGTTTGAGTGGAATCACCGACAGTGTCGTCATTTCTGATAGCAGCAATATTAGTGCTGTATCGCAACCCTCACTGTCAGTGCCATCAGAACGTTGTCCTCTAGCGAATACGTCTGCATCAACATCGCATCTGCTCAACGTCAACAAATCAACGTCGAGAACACTTCCACTGTTCGAATCGACCGCATCCTCTCCGTCCACATCCGTTTTACCGCAAAAATCGCTGAAAACAACATCGGCTAGTGCGTTACGCTCACTACCATCTCAACTCTCAAAGGCTGAAATCAAACAAACACCGTTCGCAGAGTCAGCGGTTCAGTTCACAATACCACCACATTTACCGTTAAGCAGTGACGACGACGCATTAGCCTACAGTATGGGTTCACAGCATATGGCACCACTCGCAACACCTGAACATATTGAAATCGCATCCGATTATATGACTGTCAAGGTAACGATACTGTTCTACTTGGATTCGTTCTGAAGCATTCATCTCATCTCTATGCAACGACAGCATCAACTCAGATTTATGCGCAGTGAATGAAACTCAAAAAAACCCTCTGTTCATGTTGAATATGATCGTTTTGATTTCAGTTGTTACAGTTGCTGAATTTTTATTTCCATAGCATTGATTATACTCCACAAATTTTGATTGTGGAGTGCTTTACGTTCTTATTAATTTGTTTATATCGAATAAATTGTTTGGAAATCGATTCGAAATTCAGGATGCATTAGGATGTGGTGAGGAGGATACAGAAGAAGAGGATTGTGCATATGCCACATTGGATTTTTCGAGTTGTTCATCGAACGCAACACCAATCGGTGATATTAATACCAATCTAACAACTGCACCCTCATCAAAAACGACGTCAACACGCCGTAGTCCAACGGTCACTAACCATGCAAAAAACGTTCGTTAGCTTTTTTCATTCATTTGTTTCTTTTTTCGTTGTGTTCACTCACTCAAGTTTTTGGGTGAACTCACAATCTGAAACTAATGTTTAGCTTTTATATCGATCATTTCACTGGTATTTTTTGATTTGAATTTTGTTGATCCATCCGTTGCGTTTTCAGTGCAACACTTTTGCGTGGTGAATGAAGAATGTAGCAACGAAATTCGACATAATTCAT